GATAGTAAGATGAATGAACGGGTGAGAACACCAACAAGTTTGCGATATCATTGACCGATAGAAGATAGGTTGGCAATTGGCAGGACATGCTGCAAGAAGAACAGACTGTCGCTAATCAAGAAAACGTTAGAATGTTCTCCAAGATAGGGTAATCAGCCAGGATCAAGATCGATGGCAGGATGAGCTGAAGAAGTTCGCTGGATCGACATGGATGAAAATGGCAAAAAACAGAAGTCCATGGTGTATTTTGGCATTATCGCTATTTCCACTGTTATCAATTTTACCGATCATTAATTTATTTCATAAAGTAAAAATATCGGTTTCAAACTATCCATATAATAATGCTGTGATATCCGAGGTTCAGCTCTTGCTGAAACGATTCTGTTCGATTCATTAAACACTGCAGCATCAAAGACTGACGATGTTGACCGACTGATGGGTTTCTACGAATAAACTGCCGATGTCTTTCATCTTTTAGATCTTTGAACTGGATAGGCGTTGTAAGCTACAACTAAGTTTGTACTTGGTTTCTTCGTGCTGCCTTACCCGGTGAGCAGCTAAACTTGTCGGTCGCCAACAGTGTCGCTACTGTTCAAACTCGATGCATGCGACGCGAAAGTTCTACTAGTAACGGGACATAAAATATGGGCTATTAGACTAGGCCCATATAGACACAAATTCAGCTTTGAACAGTGGCAGATCCCATGTCTGTGCAATGCATGAAAGAGCGAAGAACATACTCGCACAAAATAGACTTCAATTATACAAAATTTTGAAAATTACGTGTTTAACAGAAACTGGCCAATGTGTGCTCACAACGGGTTATTCATCGCTATGTACTTCAACCAGGTATGTGAAGCTAATGTGTGATACGCGAAATTTTCATGCTTTAAGCTTTCACCTGAGTAGTGTTGCGTTCCAGCTTAAAACAGCCAGCTTATGCGATCAGGCGCAGTATCATTCTAACAAAAGCACCAAACACATTCAGGGTTTGCTGCAGCAAAGTAAAAGATACTCTGCGGTCCTTAAGAATTCTTACCCTTTAATTTAATTGATTGATGTCACAGAAATATTCAGGCACAAATAGTCTGGACAGTTCATGCTGTCGCAATCGCCGTTGTGTAGGGCTAACAGAGGCATACAAAAACAGAGTTGTTCAGATCAGTGTCGCCCGCCTAAGTGAAACGGTAAGCTTGCCGCCGTTCGCTACTACAGCATTCTTATTCTTTAGAGCAAATACTTTTCGCTCGACGATGCGCGTCAAGGTCTAGTGCCGGCTTCCAATCCGTTGGTTCGATGCGATTCGGTTAATTGGCATTGAAACCAACATATGTATGTGGCTGCTATTAGTCGAAACATCACTTAAATACTGTACCTAAACGACGGTGTTGGCTTATATGTAGGGATCGAGCCATCAACCATTCCTCGTTCGCTAACGCTCAAGACACCGTCTTTCTCCAGTAGACCATTGAGACGATCCAAAACGGATGAACTGAAGGGCAAAGAAACGTTAAGCAGTAACACTACAGAGAATTTTGTAGGGCTGGACATACCTGCACAAGTTGACATTTTCTACCAAGATCCAGTCACCGTTTTCAAGCGCAGTGATTAGCGGACTGTTCACCCATGAAAAACGCATTTCTTTCGAGCTCTGCAAAATATTACTGTAACGCTGCTCCAGACACCGAAAGTCGACATTTCCTTCTTCTGATGCTAAATTACCACAGGTAGAGTTTCGCTGAATAAACAACTGAAAGTGTGATACTCAGCATCAATGACATTTTCTGCCGTCGCAGAAATTTCATCAGAACAGCGCATGAAACGCTGCTCGCCTGTTGACCAGAAGTGGCTTCATGGGTCAGAGAGAATAAATGTGCAGCTTCATCTAAGCACATATTCTTCAGAAACTTTATCGTCTGTCTGCGACAATACTCAATCAATTCTTCGACGAAGCCATCGGCAGCAAATTCGTCAGAGAGCTGAAAGAAATTTTAATCGAATCAGCCTCAGACTACTGCACGGTTACGTTTGTCAACCAGTTAATCAATCATGATTTCAAATCAAACCACTGATGATACAAGAAACATCATTAAAAAAGTCACTGGGATTCATAAAAACATATGAACAAGTTTACACGAGACACAAGATTGAAAGCTGCACAAAGGTAGTGATGTCCGTGCACAAGCATAAAGGATTGAATTCGGAACGATCCGATGTCTCTGCAAGATTACCACATTCTCGCCATTTGCCTCATGTTATCCAAGTCATAAGGAGAAACAGATAGTGCATTTTCTGCCTGGTAAATCCAACAGTCACTGGCCTTAACAAGCAGCAACCTTAATCCTGCACGTCGGTGGTTCCGTAATGTAATATAGTAGTCAAATAACTAGTTTTCGGTATGAGCCGCACAAAAATGGCTGCTACTTTTGCAGTGGGTCCAGCTCAGGTGAAATAAACGCGATGACCTACTGTGATCTGATGCTGTCGCTTGGTGCAGAATCCATGGTCTTTTAGTAGATGTCTAATGGGCATTTCATGCACTGCAATTTTACAATCCATTGTGCCTGGTTGCTGGTCATTCAGCGCATCCCCGGGTGGCGACGACCAGACATGGACAATATCTGCGAAAAGCACGGAATCGCTGACAGATCGCGGTGACACCATCAAAATAAGGCGTGACTGCGTTTCAGTTCATTCCTCAGAAAAAGTGACAATGCCCAATGACTTCTCATGCAGATACGAATACGACTCGCTCATTTGAAGAAAAAATGCCGTCAATGGCATCGCCGCCTTGCGGTTAACCATCCGTTCGTCAAAGAGTAGAAAAGAAAACTGATAAAAAAGCGGGATGGAATTTAGGGACCCATATGAACGACTTTCACAAGCCACCGCTAGTCCTGCTCGTGGGTGGCAACTTCATGCGCTATGACAATACGAATAAACAGGCCTCAGATTTTGGTAACCTCTCAACCGGTTCCATGTCGGCGATTCAGTGTTCAACTGACGAGGGGCAGCTTAATAATCCCAGTTGAAAGGTTAGCATTTGGGAAATGAACCAAAATTATCCTTGACGTTTGCACCTACAACTGTAGGAACTGGCAGGAAAGATACGCTAAACCGACTAATGAAGAAAAGGTCAGCAATGGCCTGCAGGATCACTGGCCCATGCGAGACACGGCGGAAAGGATTGAACAGCATCCAGAAAGACGGTAGTTGATTTGGCGAGAAACGAGAGGGCGCTAAAACTACAAGCGTAATCAGACTGGTGATCAGAAAAAGCCGGCCCGCAAAATCGTCTCCTGCCTTGTGAATGAACCAAGACTGGGTTTACTGCGGCTTCAACTAGACAAGAAGAGGACCTCACAGATAGTCCAAACCAATACTTCAACAAGTACGTCCGATGAGGAGAAAGCGATAATGTTTTATCAACAACTGGAGCGGGCAACAATCCCACGGTCCACGTGCACCCGCGTCATGGGAGTCTTCAAGGCTAAGGTCAGAGGAGGAAGCGCATCTGAAAAGCAAGCCGGCGGACACGGCAGTCGGCAGTGGAGTGCGAAGTAGGCGAGGAGATCGCTAGTGACCAAGGCAGATATGACGCTCCTGCACATGGGCAACACCTGTTTCAATGAGACCAACGGGAGATGGTCATTAATCGCGCCCAATGCGGTGATGAAGAACGCAAACGATTTATCCTGTTCCACAGAAACGCTGCATCATCCTAGATATGGGCACTGCGTAAACTAAGCCGAGGTAGAAGCAGCAAAAGGGTGTGATAGGATGGGTCTCAGAAGAGGCAAAGAGCTCGCTAAAGAAGAAGAGGAGGATCAAGAGATAGGACTCAGACGATTGAGTACTCTCTTCTCGGTAAGCTCATACGACGAAAGCTGAAGCAGGACTTCGAGACCGTCTGACTGCGAAAATTAGAGAAATTACCCAAAAACTGCAGAAGTCTCAGACAATGCAGGAAAGAGTTAGTGGAACGTAGGACAATGCAGGAGGGAGTCGACCATAACGGCGAAGAAGAACGGAAATAGCGCATCAACGTCGGACAGAGATGAGATACACTCTCTCTGCAAGAACCTTTACATGCAGCTCTTTGCCTCAAGGACATGCGTCAATGCGCTATCACGCCAACAGCCAGAAGTACACCCCATGTCGGCATTTGAATGGCGCGCAGCAACTGAAGGAAGGAATAGCATCAGAGAAAGACGGTTCGACAAATGGACTGATAAGAGCAACTGATCAAACGCTGTGTAGGGCTTCAGCAAAGTGGTTCAGTTGCTTTGTGGAAAGGCAAAATATACCATCAAGCTGGAATAAGTGAAACACACTTTCACGCTGCTCAAGAAGGGCGAAAAGGAAGACCTGAAGAACTACAATTCAATGTGCCTGATCTCACAAGTCTACAAGCCGTTCATTAAGATCATCACCAACAGACTGACAACAAATTTTGACGAGCAGCTGGCATGAGAACAGACAGGATTTCAAAAGCAGCTACAGCACATTATCCCTACCGTAAGTTAACTCCTCGAGCGCGAGAGAAAATTCCACGTCCCTCCGTGCGCAGTCTTCGAAAACATCGAGAAAGCGTTCGACACTGTCGAGCACAACGCAGTGTGAACTGCACTGGCTGAATAGGCTACTAACACTGATTACATCAACCTGCTAAAGGAAGTAAACATTGCCGGCTTCACAAACATCACGCTATTTGGTATTCCCATTCCGGATTCTTGTAGAGAATGGGGCGAAACAGAAGAATACCGTATCTCCCAATTTTTTACCACCCCTTTGGAAATCCTGTTCCGGCGGATAGCCTAGCGGGGTGGAATTAATATCAACGGCGAAAATCTCAGACGCCTAAGGTTCGATGACGATGTGATGTTAACTGCGGAAGGCGCCAGTCAGCTACAAGACACGTAGCAAGAAAAAGTGCAGATGCAAGACTAGCAATGAATAAGTGAGAGACAAAGATACTGCGATCGGGTGCCCTGCCAAAGGTCCAGATAATATTAAACGGTAAAAAGATCGCAGAAGTTGATAAAGATGCATTTACCTGGGTCAAGAGATTTCCATGTGGCATGATCTAGAAGGACAAATTCAAACCTGTTGGCGCGCATTTCGTTCCATCGAGGAAGTCCTCGTCGGCAAAACCAGAAAAGAAACGTGCGGCAACCTCTTCAGTTCTACTGTCCTGTCGGTAATGTTGTATAACTGCAATATGTGCTCACGAACGAAAGCCAAAGGGTGCCAGCTACCTGCTACCGAGAAACAAATAGA